CAGGCGCCGCTTCCACCAAGTGCCAGGCCTTGGCCGGCAGCAGGGCACCCAATTCAATTTGCTTATCTCTCTTCCTGCCGCCCTCTTTCCTGTGCTCTTCAATTAAAGGCAGAGTCACTGTCTTTTCCAATAAGTGCAGAGATGTCAGAGGAGCTGACTGGGCAGGGGAAGCAGACGGCCGTGTGACCCTCCACACTCTCAGTTCTAACTTGGGAGCAGAAAGGAAGGACCAGCCCAGGTCATCCCGCTCTGGCCAGCTGGCAGCTGAACAATAGAAATCGAAGGTTAAAATGTAGCGATCCTTTGAGCCAGCAAATCCATCCTGAGGGAAAATTATTTTTTTCACAGGTGTACAAAGATGTTCACGACACCGCTGTTTAGACTAGCAAGAGGCTAGAAACAACCTAAACCCCCCTCAAGAGGTGTGTGTCGTGAGGGTGCTTCAACATGTTGTTATGCTTTGTCTAGGTGCTGGGACACAGTGCAGGTGGTAGAACAGGGACTGCCAGACGAGAATAAATTCCAGGATGTACTGGGAAGAAAGAAGAAAAGGCAGGAGCGGAGGGGAGGGGAGGGGGTATGTGTGTGTGAACATCTATGTAAAAGGTATTTACTGCCCCTCACGAGCATATATATTTCTCAGGAGGGTACTTAAGAGATTGGGAACGCTGGCTTCTTCTGGGAAGGGGAGTTACTTTTCACTGTAAATTCTTTTGCTTTCTGAATTGGAACCATGGGACTGTGGCGATGTAACCAGACACTGATGTTGCACGTCTTGGGAATAGCATCGCTGATAACAGAAGGGAGGGTACGAGGAGAGACAGGCCAGTAAGTACACGGATGTCCTTGTCTTCGATAGCTGGGATCGAAAGGTACCTTTAAAGCTGATGTCAGGTAATAAAAGTTCGAAAGTAGGATGTAAACTTCAAGAAAATATTGTAGAGAGAAAGAGGAAATCCTCACTTTGTCATTTTGTTCATCTTAGGGAAAGTAATAGAATACTGTTCCAAAGAAATAAGAGAATGAGGGTATTATTTAAAGTTATGCCTCTAGAACAAAGCCCCAACCTTCCTGATTAGTAGGTGCACCAGACAGCAGAGAACGCAGATCACACAGGGAAAGACTTCTAAGAGCAATGAGAGCAAAGCACAAAATGACTGAATTAAGACCATATGTCTGTCCTAGCAATAAAAATGTAGATGAGCTAAGCTCTCCTATTAAACTTTTAAAGGCATTCAGATCAGATCACAAAGCTGAATCCAACTCTACATTATGTGAGTCACACCTGAACAAAGTAATTCAGAAAGGTTGAAACAAAAGGTTTGGCATAGTTTTCAGAAGAAATGTGAATTAAAGAGCAGAGGGTACCATATTAATAGGTAAAAGTGAATCCAGGCCAAGTATATCAAAGAAGAGTGCGATTTACTCTGAGGACTGAACGTATTAATATCTGTGTGTTAAATAGCGTGGCATTAGCACTCGTAGGAACAGGGCTATAGGTCTGACAAGAAGAAATAGACTGGAACACATCAGGACATTTCTTGATCCCTGACTGGTAAGGATAGAGAACCTAACTTACGTAATTAATAGGGTAGGTATAAATGGTACACATCAAACTCTGAATCCTGCTAGCAGAGCCTCATCTGCTATTTAAGGCCCGGTGAAAGTCAAGACCACCGTAGATTATATCACAAAGAAAACTTACTAAAGCCTAAAAAACTTACTAAAGCCTAGAAATCAGAGACAATTCTGATAACACTGCATTAAAACTAGAAGGAGCAAAACATGAAAGTGCCAACCACCTTGGGGGTGGGTGGGCTCGGCGAGTCTAGTTCAAAGAAGAAATCAGAGTCCAAATTGTAAAACAGAAAAATGGAAATACAGTATGATTATATAACTATTACATATTAGAACCTGTAGGATACAGCTAAAGTGCCCAGGGTATTTACACCTTAATTTTTTCTTTTTTTTCTTATCAGTGTAAAGATTTAAGCCTCCAACTCAAGACATTTTTTAAAAAAGGGCAATTTTAATAAAGATAAAGCACAAATAAATGAATTAGCACCCAGGAAAAGGTTAATTACTAATAAATGCTAAAGTTGATCTTTGGGGAAAGGGAAGAAAGAAACCTCATTAGCTAACTAATCAAGAAAAAGGGGGAGAAAAAAAGTAAAATCTATACAATTGAAGAAATAAGGTGAAAGTTTGCAAAAGCATCGTATACTATTTTATTCAACCTTGTCCTGATAGATTTGAAAACCTGGATAAAAATGGATATTTTTCTAGAGAAACTACTATTCCAACAGCTAGTAGCTACTACTATTATAAAGTAACCAACACTATTAAATCAGACAAATAAATGAAGATATACAACTTACAAAGCAGGAGGTCAGATTATCATTTGCAAATATAAAGAGAGTGTAACAGGAAAACCTGCGTCTAAATTGAAAAACCATCACAATAAAAGAATTCAGTCAAGTGGCAGGAGTTAATAGTCTTTCTATAAATAACCTCTATTTACGGAAGAAAAGACTAGCCCAAAATGGTTAACGAGTCATAAAGAAGTAAACTTTTAAGATGTGCAAGATCTAAATGAAGCCTATATTGAAATGTGCCCAAGGGACACAAAGTTTGAATAAGCAAAGGAGTCCGGGTTCTTGCAGGGAGAGAGATGGTCATAATGACATCCTTCCTAGTTATAAATTTAATGCAGTCCCAGTAAAGGCCCAAACAGGATCTTTGTTCTTACCCTGATAAGTGGATTCTATAGTTCAGACAGAAAAATACACAGAACAGCCAAGGAAATTTTGCATGGGGGCAGGGGGAGGGACTGAGGTGGAGGATAACGAGGAACAAAAGCATCACCAAATACTGAAATGTGTCATGTCCTTGCTACAGTGCGGAGGAACCTTGAAAACATGCTGAGTGGAAGAAGCCAGTCATCAAAAGCCACATACAGGATGAGGCTATTGAAAATCCAGAATAGGGGACTCTATAGAGAAAGGGAGGGGGATGGATATTGGGTAAGGGGTTTCTTCTTCAGGCAATAAAAATGTTCTAGAATTGACTGGTAATGGTTGTAAGATTCTGTAAATATACCAAAAAAAACATTGAATTGTACCTGTCAAATGGCTAGGTTTGTATGATGTGAATTATATCAATAGCTATGATCATTGTTAAAAATGTACTCTAACACTACAATAATTAAAATATTGCACTGATATTTCAACACACTTGGATTCTTACCTAATTCTTTATACCACATAAATTACATAAAAATCAGGTCATATATTTAAGAAATTAAACCCACAAAACCCTGGGGAAATGCTGAAAGAAAAAATAGGAAGGATGTCTAAGCATGCCACCAAATGCAGTGGTCCTCAGCGAGAATACTGACAACTTTCATTTTATAAAGTAAAACTCTTCCGTGGCACAATCAAAGACAAATGACAGATTGGGGGAAACATCTGCAATTCATGGGAGAGACAGAGGTCTAATCCAATCATATACAAAGAGTTCCTTCAAATCAATAAGGATAAAAACTCAATTGAAAAACTGACAAGACAATGAATAGGTAAAGTTTAAAGGAAAAATAAATGGCTCAAACATGGAAAGATGTTTAACTTAAAACTGCACCATGATCCGATTTCACTAATCAGGGAAGCAAAGCCTTAGTTTGGTACTGCGTTGTGATGGCAAGGACGTGGGGAAACAGAGAGCTGAAGATGTCAGACCACAGCTATGAAAATTACAAATGTACCTACCTCTGGCCCAGTGTTTCCACTTCTAGAAATTCATCCTACAGTTTTAGTCAAACCTTTGTCACACATACACAGTTGCTTATTGCTGCACTGTTTGTAGTATTAACAGGTTGGAATGGTCTATCTAGGGCACTGGTCAAATAAATTATGGCTCATCCAACTATGTGACAAAAGCATGAGGAAACGCGACACATGCTGACATGCAGGGTGTGTTGCTAAGTGGAAAAAGTGAAGTCCAGAACAGTGTGTATGCAAAGGGCATAAAACATCTCCTGGAAGGACACACAGGAAGCCAACAACATGGCTGTCTCTGGGAAGGAGAGCAGGCTGGCTGGGCAGAGAGGGGGCAGGAGGAGGCTTCTGTCTGTACACACCTTCATCTGAATACTGGACCTCACAAATGCATTACCTTGCTAAAGGTAAATACATATTTAAAAAGAAAGCAACATGTAGGCACAGCGACAAATGGCAACTGACTGTGCACTCTAGGACAGAGGCAAAAGGGAGGCGTGGGGACAGTGGTGACATGGAGATGAATGTCCCCTTTAAAGAGACGTAGTTTAATTCTTCTCAATGGCTGCAGCGTGGGAACACAGGTCTGTGTTACCAGAGCCACTTATTTTTTTGAGGCACTAGCAATTTAAATTTTTATGTAAACCTTCTTGTTTTTAAGTGTTTCCAAATACTTCAAAAAATATTTTAAATCCCACAGTGGCTAAAAATAATCAGAAGGTCTGGAATTCCTGGCCTAGGTGTCAAGGAAGACAGGCCCCCTGGAGGCCACCAGTGTCCCTAGTTTGACACACTGAAAAAGCAAGGCCCAGATCAGGGAAAGACACACCCCAGGTCACACAGTGAATCAGGGCCCAAGCTGGGACCCCACAGGGGTATGGTCTGTGTTCTCCTATTCTCTGCCAATGCAGGCAAATGATGGCTGATGGTGGAGCCACGGTGATGGTAGTGGGCAGTGAAGGTTGCTGAGGAGTTGGTGCCCTTGGCGGGGGGATACCCCAGGGAGGCAGCACAGCTTAGGCTTAAAGGCACCTGAGAGTGTGTGTGTGTGTGTGGGGGGGGGTGGTTGGGAATGGCATTCCCTGCCCGGGAAGTGCTCTGCAAAGGCCTGAGGTGGTAGTCTAAGTCTGTCCAGGGACACAGAGCAGGCCCCTGTGGATTCAGTGAGGGCAGAGGAGACGGTTTGGGGACGCATGGAGGGAAACTTGGGGGAGGGTGCCTACTCACACTTGCGCAGCTCCAGGCTCTTGCTTGGGCAGGCCAGGTGTTGGCCCGGTGGGTTCTGGGTCCTCTGCAGACAGGCCAGCATGGCTGAGCTGGGGGCCCGTGGCGGGGCACACTCTGCAGCAGGGTCCCTGTAAGGAGGGAGATGAGGTGCTTGTCACACAGGGCTGCTGTGGGCTCACCTACTTCATCCCCCCACCCCCAGCTGGGAGACCCTGCCAGCGGCCTCCTCTCTACCTTGAACAACACTGGAAACTTTCTTATCTGGCAGGTGAGTAGACTGAGGGCCCAGAGGCACCAAGAGGCTCGTCTGTGTCCTCACTGTAGAATCGGGTCTTTTGAGTGGTGCCTTCCACCATGACGGGGCCAGAACTCAGCCCGAGCCCCTCCCCGCCAACCTGAGACCTGGCCTCAGAATGCTGGTCACCAATTTCAAGGGGCTTCCCTGTTACCATCAGGCCTGGTCAGATGTACCCCATGTTCCCTCAGCGGCTGTCCTTCCAGCTAGTGGTGGCCTCTCTTGTAACCACCGTGAACAGGCCTGTACCCCACCTTTAGCCTAGAGCTTGGCAAGTGCCAAGACCCCATGGGCTCATCTTTGGGCCCGGTGTGGAGTGGGTGCTGGAGGTCCAGTTTACTGACATATTGGCCTGTCCCTTGCACCCGGGTGTTCTCACAGTACCTAGAGGAGAGCTGTCCCAGGAAGAAAGAGGTGCTCCAACTCGGACCAGTGCTGAGCCTGACCTTGGTCTCAGACTGCGCCTGAGCCCAGGCCCGAAGGGGCACTGCGGCTCCCTGGCCCAGCATCTCTGAGATGGCCTGAGTTCCGCACCCCAGTCAGCGGGGACAGGCCGCCCCAGGGCAGCCCCCCTTGGCGGGCTGCTCAGGGCCCTGTAGGCGGCAGCTCAGACACACTCCAGAAAGTGCTGCTCCCAGGTCCACGTCTGCTCGCTCACCCAGCCTCGGGTGCTGGGCACTCGCGGGATCACATTTTTATCTTCCCCAAACCCACCTTGCCTGGAGGCCTCGAGAAGGTGGGGCGTCTCCCTGCCAGTCTCCCCGCCCCCTTTCCAGTAAGGAGAGGGCAGCCTGGGTGTGGGCTCAACTCTGGACACCCCGAGTCCTGACAGTCAGGCTGGGTCAGCCCAGTTGCTCCCGCTGGTTTGAGAGGAGGGGGCGGGGTGTTTAGGCAGAAGAAAGGGAAGTTATTTAATACTAAACAGGTGTCTGCAGCCCTACATTCTGCTGCTTTCTTCTAATAATGAAGTATTCATGAGGAAAAGCCTTTTTTCACTACTTTCTTAAGATACTAATTTCACAACAAGCTCCTTGTTACCGCGCAATTATTCCAATCTTGTATTTCCCGAGCCGGTGGCAGCCTCCCGTCTGTCCTGGCCTCTCGGTAAATGAAAGGCAATCACGTAACCACCTTTCATTATGCTCTATTTTACTTTCAGCAAAGGTACCCTGAAAGAAATGATTTACTCTGAAAGGGACTTTTATTCAGTTTCAAAACCAATTTTCTCCTATTACTGTCTCAAAAAGAGAGGAGAGAGAAAGTAGGGGACGCGGGGGGAGGGGAGGTGCTTCTCCCCCACCCCCCCCAATCGCCAGCCTTAACACAGCGACGCAATAAAAGCTGCAGTATCCACTTCCCGACTTCGATTTCTGGTAATTTTAAAATATGCCATTACAATCAGGCAGAAATTATACAGTTTAAAAGGGAACGGAGGGGGGTTTAGTGCCGGATGAAAGCCCCTGACTGCAGGCTGAGGCGCGGCCCCTGGGGGCTTGGATGTGAGGGCAGCGGGAGCCCCCGGCCTGTGGGACGCAGCCCCTCACATGGCACCTGCCCGTTGGGACACCCAAGGACAGAGGCTGTGCCCCTGGCGCCCCACAAGCCCAAGTTCGTGACAGACTTTCTTGCAGGTGCCCACCCTCCCCACACTGGGCCACAGACCTCCCCAAGCCCTCGGGCAATCCACAGCACCACAGTCTCGTGCTCGCCTGGAAGGTCAGCAGCCTGTGGCCACCCCACACGGGCCCCCCTCTCCTACTCCAGCCCAGTGCTGCCGCTGCCTCTTGCCACTCTGACACGGGGGTCGGGGGACGGAGGGAAAGCCAGAGGCAGCCAGTCAGCAGCAGGGCCCAAGATGGGGAGACAGCACCCTGCCACCCAGCAGGCAGTGGCTGGGTGGACCTGCCCTTCACCACAGGCAAGGCAGCGAGGAGGCCAGCAACCGGGTGCGCTGAGGAAACGGGCTGGAAGCTAGAACCTCCCGGGGCCTAGCACCTGCTGTGTGGCCCCAGGGGAGACACTGCCCCTCTCTGGCCTTGTAAAAATGGCTCCATGGTCCCTCTCTGGTCATTTCCTCTAGAGGTCTGGCTGTGTCTAGCTTCCCTCTGGAGGTCTTACTGACCTCTGGCCTTCCACAGGGTGCCAGGCCCACAACTCCTCAGAGGCCATACACTCCAGCATGCCCCACAGTTGAGTAGGACAGCTGGGGGCTGCAGTTTTTAGGGGGTGAGGGGCATGCTTGCGTATTCTGAGGTCTCCACACCCTGCACCGAGGCGGGGCTCTGGTTCTCAGAGTGCTCTGATATTGGACGCCCAGCAGTCCTGGGAGCTGAGGGGTCACCTGACCCAGCTCAGAAGAGTCCCTGAAAAAGATGGTATCAACACAAAGGCCTCAGCTCGGCTGTTCTAGTGGAGCGGCCTGGATCATTTCATGTCTCCAGGGGATCAGCACTCATGGCCCTACATTCCACAAGACCATTTGGAAAGAAGGGGATCCTCTCTCTGCACCCACAATCCCCCCAGCTCAATGACCAGCGAACCAACCCTGTGTCCTGCTGCTGGGGGCGGGGGTGTCCAGTGTGGAAGGGGCGGGACCAGCGGCGCCGGAGGAGGAAGGGACTACACTCCCCGTCCCTGAATCATCCCCACTAGGAAGCCCCTTCCCTGGCCTTCAGACTTCCCCTGGCCGCAGAACAGAGCCCAGCCCTCTCTGCTGGCCCCTCCTCCCCTAGCTCCCTAAGTCGTCCCTCCAGCCTGGCCACTTCACACCTCCAGGCCTTTGCCCGTACTGCTCCGGCTGCCCACAGCACCCCCACTCCGATCCACCGTAGCTCAGACTCTGGCTCAGCTGTCCTCTCCTCCGGGCACCCCTCACAGTCCTCAGCACACACAGTTGTAATTGCCAATTTTCATGTCTGTCTTTCTCCACTGGACTGTGAGCGTCTCAGGGCCAAGGACCATGTCTTATTTGTCTCTTTCTCCCCAGTGTCTGGCAAAGAGCAATCATTTAATAAATAGGTGTTGAATGAAAGGTGGAATCAGTGAATTGGTTATTGTCTGATGAAGTGACTGAGGCCCAGAGAAGCCAAGTGTCCTGCACAAGGTCACACAGCAAGCTAGAGACAAGACTGGGTCAGGCGCCTAAAACACAAGATCATCCCGCACCCCTACCATGCCCCATCTCTGCTCGTCATCATCGCCTTGTCTGCAGAAAGCACGCCCCTCAGAGCCCCCACCCTGACTCATTACTCCCCAGCCAAGGGCCATCCTGGGAGCATGGCTCATTCGAAACCCTATCTGCACATCGGGCTGTTTATAAGCCCAAGGTCTTTTGTGACTTTAATAATAAAAGGGGGGGGCGAGATGTCAAAAGCCTCCATGATTAGAATGCTTTGGCATCATTCCTGACATGGGGGCTGATAAGACGTCTTATCTTGGAGGCACCCCGAGGAAAAGGTCCCCTCCACCAGATAACACCCCCAGCTGTCGATATGGCCTTTCATAGCTGAGGATTTAGATAAAGGACATGTGACAGGGCAGGGAAAGAAAGGAAGGAACTTTCCAAGCCAGAGGAGGCATTGAGCCCACTGCTTGCCTTGTCTTTATTTTTATAAAAGAAGGGGGAGTTGGGGCCTTTTGCCCTGCCGGTCTTTTGTCATCTCCTGGCCTGTCAGGCTGCAGGGAGGTGTTGGGGAGCCCCGGGCCAGTGGGAGGGGGAGCTGAGATAACAATACCTGCACATTAGCACTAATAACAGCTGCATGAAGCCATGGATGGGCCCCCTGTGCCACACCCCACGTGCATCCTTTCCAGTGGCCCCACCACACCCTCTTAGTGGCCTCGGGTGGGTGCTGTTTTTAGGTGCGCAGATCAGGAAAGGGTCACAGAGAAGGAAAGTAATCTGAACAGGTCACACAACCTTTAGATGGCAGAGCCTGAGGGTGTCGACCCCGGCCTGAACCTGCACCCTCAGGCCCAGATGGTATGGTCCGCATCCCTGGCTCCATTGCTGCGGGGATCTATTAGCCCTGGTTCCAGTCAACTGGGCAGGAAGGAGCGAAAGTGAAGGTTGGCTGCCCACTGCCCGAGTCGACTTTGATATTCTACTCTGGAAGGGACTAGGGGCACAGAGGGTGATGAGAGGAGGAGAGGGTTCCCAGGAGGCCACTTACCCCATAAACATTCATGGAAGACACCATGTGAGGCAGGCCTTGGGCAGAACAATACTGAGATGATTCAAGCCCAGGCCCTGCCCCTGCAAGGGGACCATTTTGTGGTGTCTGTCATTTATCCCCCTACCCTTCCATCCGCCCATCCATCCATCCAGGCAGCAGGCAGTTCCTGAGAATCCTTTAAGGTCAGCCCCCAGCTATGTGCTGGGAGACCAGCAAGCACTAAGAATGTCCTGCTGTAGGGACCATCCAACCAGAACTGACTTCCCACTCCCAGCCCATCAAAAATGGACTTTCCTGGCTTCTCTCTGGAGCCTCCAACATTTCCCCAAAAGATGGGTGGACAGAACTGTCCTTCATGCGTCCTACAGGTCAGCAGACTGCCCTGGGCTGGGCTGCGCTGCACTGCAGGAGGGCAGAATGCGAACACATTCTTGGGCTCCACACAGGGCAAGGCTGTGACGTCATGAAGGCCAAGGTTTATGCATCTTCCAGTCCCTGGCCATCCCCCTCCCTGGAGCTACGCACTCTGGCCTGTGTGGTTCCATTCAAGGCCAAAGATTAGCTATGGCTTGGACAAGAAGGTCATGCCGGACCCAACATCCAATAGTACTAGGAGTTCAGAGAGGAGGGCCTGCCCCGGAGGCCTTGGGGTAGCACC